TGCATCTACATCAAACATCAAAACTGTACATTTAAGAAATAAAAATATTCCATTTCTGACCCAAACATCCTTGTTTATCTAATGAATGTAAAGAATTAAGCATTCAATATCAGAAGCAGAAGTTCTCCTACCTTTCCTGTAGGCTGAAACTATGTTTCATAGCATGAAACATGAATTTTGTTTCAATTATAGTCTTAGGGGTTGGGTTAGGGTTTTTTTTTCATTTTTTGCTTATTGTGCGGTTAAGCACAGTCAACCAAACTATCAGTATTTTGGCTCTTAAAATATACAAATAGTTGTTAATAGCATCAGTATTGCTTATCAATTAGCTTTGCTTTCCACTTTCTCCTCTTCCCTCTGTTTTGAAGAGTAAAGAGGAAATTTTCTACTAAGACCTATGAAATAACAAGATTGGAAGGAAACTAACTCCTTATACACTTCTAGACAGCTGGGTTTGGATGCTTTCCTGCTCTTTCCACATGGCCCCTCTCCTCCCCTTGCAATGGCAGGGCCCCTGGCTTAAGGAATCACGTGGCCAGCAGGAACTCCTGGACTTCCAGCCCATGACGACATCCACACAAGTGGATTTGAGTGAACTACAGATGGAGGGAAAAAAAAAAGGCAAAAGGAAGCAAATTGCTGTTTCACTAGTAGATAATCAAGATGTTATATGGATAGTAAAAGACATTTTGCATGCTTCTGCACATGGTAAGCAGTAGGCAGAAGGAAATGTCCCAGTAGCAACTAGTGGACTTCATTCCACCAGCTCCTCTGCCCTGTGCCACTTTTGGAGATTGTAGGTAATGCTGTTTTATGACAATAACATAACATGATTTATAAATTTATAAACAATAACATGATATCTAAATCTACCTTAAAACCAAGAGCTTTACAAGTGCAACACAAGGAACAGTAAGTGTTATCAGTGAAGACTTGCATGGTTGGCTAAGAATTCCCACATTAAGTTACTGTAGCAAATACAAGCCCAAAAAGTTAATTGTAAGGGGTATTTTGAGTCCGAGGGATGCTAGCTGCAGAAATGTATCTAAAACATTTTGTTCCTTCACAAAGTAACTTCAGAACCATGAAAAATATCTACCCCTAAAGCCATATGTCTGGTATAGATCATATACGTATTGCTCTAGGTTAGAACATTTGGGGGAAAATAATGAGAGAATATTCATTTGATGAGACAACTTTGGCTTGGAAGGGCAGTGAAGATTTCTGGTACAGTCCACTGCTGACGTATGTCTAGCAAGACAAGCCAAACTAACCACATCTGACAGTACCAGTGCCCAAACATGACATTCAGGTAAAGAAAATGCTGTAACTCTGTGGCACAATCTCCAGTCTATCCTTCTTTTCCAACTGCCACTTTGTATTTTCACAAATTATTACTTGGGAGCAAACCACTAGGCTTGCAAGACCTGCACGGCTTTGCTTTAAATGCAGTTCCAACAATCTCCTACAAACCTATGGAAAAGCCATCACAGTAATGCAAACTTATATAACAGAACCTGTTAAAATGTGTTAATGAGACTATATTGACTAGCCAGCTTCTTTGCGATAGCAACTCCCACTGGAAGTTAAAAATTTAAAGGCTAGAATTTCCCCCCCCCCCCTTTCTTTTCAAAGGACAGAAATGAGATTGAAAATAATCTAAAAATAGCAGAGAATTTTCAAGTGTCAGCTGTAACGGAAAGAGGAATGGCGTTCTCTCCTTACAGAGCCAGGATGGATGGAGAGAGCTTCTGATTCAGGATCAAGAAAGAGATCACTTGCACACAAACTGGAGATGGTAGAAAATAATTGTATTTACTAATTTTAGTAATATTCCAGGACAACCTACAGCAACTTGAAATCAAATAAAATTGTACTTTGTTTAAAAGTGGTGTATGTAAATTCTTATATACTTTGCCTGCCAGAAGGAGAAGTACATATTGTGAAATAACAGCGAAAAGAGTTTTAAACAACCCATTCAAACCACGCATCCTCCTCATGACAGAAGATGGATGTAAATTATGTGTCTTCGCCTTTGTTTTGTCTTTTCCATCAATCTTCTTTCCCAAAAAGCCACCATGTCAAGGCTTCCATTTTAAGTTCTCTTGCATTTAAATAGTCTCCCACCTACCTCTGAAGATTTACTGATGTAAACAGGAAGAAGGAAGAAGAGGGCTCAGACCTTAGTTGTAGTGTACCTGTTTACATTGCAGCACCTCTATTTTGGGTAGCCAAAGAGAAAAACATAAATGAAAGACTGCAGATGATCACAGAATGCAGCAGAAGCCATGGTGTCCCTCCAGTATCACAAGGCCTCAGATTTCCACACTCATCTGTCCTATATTCCAGAATAAAGCTCCACTCCTGCCATGTTCACTTCAGCTTGTGTAGGATGTAAATGTCTTGAGGTCTACAGAAACTGTGACTTCACTTTACAATGCTTACACAGGGCTTAAAGAGAGCTGCAACATTTTACAACCAGACTGTCAGTTCTGGCTTGATTTATTTGTTAATTAGTGTCAGGGAACACAATAATTTGAAACTGGAGCCCACACTGCTAAATAAAGTACATTGTCAGTCTCCATCCTGTACAAAGTGGAGAATCTTCCACAGACACTAACTATGCTTCTAAATTATTTTTCACTGTGTGCTGTCAAATTAGCCCTGAAGTATGTTATTGAAACTCAAAGCCTCAAAAGCCAACATCCAAGTTTTCCTTAAACAATAAAAACAGCTTAGGTGTGAATACCATTTAATTGAGATATTTTTCTACTTGGTCTTGCACATATAAAACGAAGAGCAACACAACAAATCTTCCTCAAAATTTGGAGAAACTCTGGACTTCCTGCAGAGGTTACAGAACTTACCAGGCAGTAAAACTTATCAGCACTAATGCACAAGTACATTGGTTTACTTTCAGGAAAAATTATGTCATTGCATCATCTAAAATATTTGGAAAACTCAATAATCACTAAGTTTCCCTAAAAAGTTCTTTCTTTTGTTTATAGCTATGAAACATCTTCACTGTGTGAAGACTTGACAAGAACCAGGTGGAGCAACTACAGTCACTATTTACCTCCTTTTCTTTTTGCTATTACATGGTAAAATTACAGATCACATCAAGATGTTAAATCAATGTAGAATTTACTTCTTCCTGGCAATATGCCTTCATGCAAATTACCTCTAATTATAATTCTTTATTTGTCACTGAATATTTTTCATTTTTTGAATACAGGAGTGAAGTCAACTTGCGTATGGAATTTTATTTTCAGGCTCACACTTGAAAATAAGATCATGAACCACCACATCAGTAACAGCATTAATAGGTTGGATTATGTAAAACAGATAAAATGAAGAGTCACTAACATTTTCTGTCTCAGTCAGTACTCACAATTTTGTTTTGGGGGAAAGTGGAAATACACACACATGCTTACTTGGTTCTATCAACTGTTGCCTGACCCTCAGATTAGCATCAGAACACATGAAATCCAGAATTACAATGTCTGTGACAAATGAGTTCAATAAATATAAAAAGTCAGTATCTAAAGATTTATATTTATTGAACATGATGAAACTAGAGGTTGAACAGGAAGACCTCACAACGGCTGTCAAGACACAAGACAAGCACTCTAACCTCCGGCACTCGCCCCAAAAACACGCACTAGTTAGAGACTAAAGCTGCTCTCAGCCAAGCCACAGAGCAAAGCTGAATCTGTGCACAGCTCTCTGCAGGGCTGTCCTGCTGGCACAAGCACAAACCTTTTACATTTATACTACACCCAGCAGGCTGGGCTCAAAAAGCTAAGAAAAGCTTTCATCTTATCTTTCATCTACCTGTGAACTTCCAGAAGCACACAACAGCTACAGGCCCTCTGTGCACAGGTCTAGTAAAAGACAGAAAGATGGGGCAGACAGGGAAAACCTTACTGCTGCCAGGGTGTAACTCTGGTCTGCTCCTGACTGGCTGCAGAGAGGAGGAAGGGAAGAAAAATTCAATGACTTATCTCTTCATAACCTTACCTGTGACTTCTGTCTTTCAGGAACACCGTGCTGTGTTCCCTCTAACCCAAACCTGAAGCAGCAGCAGAGTACTATGTCACCAAGCGGAGCAGTATCCCATGGTGTGCCAAGGGAATACCATCCTATGGGTCACAGGCTGCCACCACATAAAGAGCTAGGCTATTTATAGAGAAATAATAGCCTTAACTTACATTAAAAGGTTTCAATATCAAGCAAAATGGTAGTAACTTCGATTTGCTTGATTAAAAAAAATGTTTAAAAGTAAAGCAGATATTAAATACAACATGGAGAATAGTGAAAGACAACACAGTACCCTGAAGATCTTTGACAGGCTTTAGCAGGAACAGTTGCCCCAGATGAGCTGGTGGACTATGTAGGGGCTGTGAAAGCTGGTCTCGCCTCTGGAGGCATTAACCACTTTGGTTAGTCAGGTGACAGAGGGCACAAGAGCCATGAACCTTTCTTCCATGATGAACCAAAAAACAAAACCAGAGAGAAAAGCACGTCTGTATCTTCAAGGGCCTTGAATAAAAATTCAGCGATAAAGCAATTCCTTGAGGCAAACCAAACAAGGAGACGTCTTGCTGCAGAAAGTTTGGGAATTATTTTAACAGGAACTTTAATAACAATGACTATTACTGGAGTATCAGCGTACAAACAAACGCCCCAAATGAAATCATGGTTCCACTGTGCTATACTCTATAAACACAGAGAAAGCCTTCTTGCCCCAACATGCTTACGTATTTTGAGCACCCAAAAAAAAAAAAAAAAAGATGCCAGTGACCCTGGTATTTCTGGAAGAGTTGCTAACTGGCAAATAGCACTATCGTGACCTAAGTAACAAGAAAGAGAAAGGCAAACAACCAAGAAGAACAGAGCAAAACAAAAATATTTCCATAAGCAGAACTTTTTATATCTTGAGAAGAGATCTCCAACTCCAGAGCTCAGAAGGGATATGTTAACATATTATATATAAAGTATTATGTGACTCTCAGCATCTCATAATCTTTAATAAAATTACTTGCTAGGAAGCTCCACAAGAAAACAGAAAAAGTGGATTGTCTCAAATTCTGTCGCAGAATTATTATGGAAGATAAAACTGGTGTCCAGGGTTGTCCTTAGACATCAAAAAAGCACCGCAACTTTGCTCTCCTGCGCTCCCCTCACATCCAAGGGGATCAAGTGCTGTGAAAAGAGATGGCTTAAGCAGGCAAAAGCACTGTGGGGTCGTAACTGGCTCAGTCTCTTTGTCAGTTTGATTTAGACACCACCTACTTAATTCAGAAGTCAGAAACAGGAGGGGACATACCATGGTCTCACTTTGTGCAATAAGGAGCCAAGGAAGCAAAGGAGTAAGAGAAGGTATTTCCACCCTAAGATTTCAGTGAACCACAAAACAGCACAGTGAGAGGGAAACTTAGTTTTGCCTTGTCTATTCCAAAAACCAAGGACAGCAGCACTAGGACAAGCCAGGGGACCTCTGCATTAGTATTTCAGATGGAATGGGGAACATGGTTCTGAAGCCGTTTGCCCAATTCACTCCAATGCACCCTGCTTTGGTGCACACTGTAGAGCTGTGCCTGAATTCCTTCTGGGGGAACTGAGCCAAAAGACTCATTCCAGGAGGATGCCTGATGCACTCCAACCACGGGGGTTCTTTAATTCAAAGACCCAGCCCAGAACTAGTTTTAGGTAAAACCCCTGAAATGCGCATAACATGGGCACCAAGTCCCCAGCACCTCCCCTTCTCCTCTATAAAGAGTTTACTTGATCATGGTGCCTTAGCCTCAGAAGATACCTACAGCTACCACCGCAGCTCAGACAATTAAGAGATAATATACTAGACATACAACATAAAAAAGAGGGTATCATTAAGATACCAAAGGTTGAAAGGAAGCTGAGAAGTGAAGTACCAGTAGGGAAGCAAAGCTTGTGTCTGTTATCTCCACAGCACTTTCATACTTGAAAAGAGTATGATGTATGACATAATTAAACAACCACAACAAACTTCCTCTTCTCTATCACTACTATCAATGAATTCTCAGGGAAAACAGGGAAGCAAAGCTTCCTAACAGCACCTCCCTTCACAAACCTGAGCAGGTGCTTGCCAGAGGACAATTAATTAAGACGCCAAATCTCACTTTACTCTATTAAATCTCAGAGCTGCTCCTTAACAAAACCTTTCCCTGCAGCAGGTTCTAGATGCCAACCTGCAGCATTGCTGTTAGATTGCTTTTTTCAGTACCTTTTTTTTGTTTTCTTCCCTGATGCCATTTATCTGTCAGCCAAGGAATCCAAGTGCAGAACAAAGCACTGAGGAAAGAGGAAAAAATGGGCAACCCTGCAGCACCCACCATATGCCCCTGAGGGTCTGGGCATGGGAGGAAAAGGGATTACATGTGCCACAGATAGAGGTGGTCACAGCAGAGCTCTGCTTACAAGCCCACACAGATGCTGATTTCTGTATAAGACATTGATAAGAAATGGAAGCTAATCACAGCTCCACAACAAAAGACAGAAAGAAAAAGGGAGAAAAAAAACAACCCAACCCATGTTCCTCGTTAAATTAATTCTTACCACATGCTCCAGTTGCTTTCATAGCTAGGTTTTTGGGGTAAAAAGAGAGCATTAAAAGGTCAGCCCAACATACTTCATCTTATTTAGACTGCATTTCAGTTTGTTGTCTGTAGTGCCCTGGCTAAAGCCAGACCTGTGAAAGGCATTCAAAGCTGCAAAACCCAAACCCAAGTACTGGTGAGAGATGGCAGACTATGCTCTCTCACAATAAATATGAACAAGGACAGAACAAAAGTCTCAAAGACCATGGAAAAACAAACCACTCCTGGCATGGGATAGGATTGCTCTACACAGTGCTCCTGTGATCTCCTATAAAATATAAACAAATAAAATATTTAAGAGCAGTACCATCAGTCTCCACAAGCAAGTTCATGTTGTTTTATGATTAATGATATCAAGTGCAGTTATAAATTTAGCAAAAATACTTGATTTCATGTGTTGCTACAACATGGCCTTAACACTGCAGTTGACTGTAAAGGTAGGTGGAAGAGGGAAATGTCCCAGGGTTGTTTCTCTACAATCTATTACATTCATTTTCACCAGATTTCACAGCAAGATTCAGCTTAGGGTAAAGGAGAGATTATGTCTGATCCTTTTTTCTTAAAAGCACACCAAAATACATCAGTGTCAACAGTTTTCAAAGAAATTAACTGAATTTGTATTTTTAGAAGCTCAAAAGAAAGCCAAAGCCCAGGGACACACATCTGCTTCAGTCCTATGGCTTCCAGCCACCAATGTCACTGTCAATATTTTTCCTCCCCATGAGCCTCTCATTTCAGCCCCACTGCCATATGCATGCGGACAGCTAGCTCACAAAAGTAAGTATTTGTGTCACATCAGAATAAGCACCTGCCACGGGCGAGCGGCCTGCCACTACCGCTTCCACACTGTTTTGCAACACTCTCCACTCCGTCCTTACTCACTGACCTTCCTACAACCATCCTGGCCTCGTTTTGTATTTGTTGCAACAAACATCTGCTTCCCCCACCACAGTGCTCTCCTGTGACTCCTTTAGTTTCTTCCACTCTGTTTTCCAGGCTTACTTTATAAGAAAAGAGTACATTTACAAAAGGGTTTGTGACATATTTCACTCCCATTTTGATTCGGCTGCTCCCCACCTTGGGCTATAAGCACTGCAGAGAACCATAGCTCCGCCAGACAAAGGCACAGCACTGAAGAGACATGGCTTTTACTAAAGAGACAATTAAACCCTCAGCATAAACAATCCTCCTGCACGCGCTTCTCGGAGCTGCTAGAAAGCAGTCAAGGGTTTCATTTCAAAATGAATACTCCACAGAAAAATGAAAATCAGACCCTTACACAAGCCATGAGGGGAACCAAAGGATCCCTCATTTTCTTTTCCAAAAGGCAAATTTGCAGTTTCATCCCCATACCCTTCGAGCTGCAATGAGAGCCTCTGCCAGCTCACTGAGCCACCTGAGTAACTTTTTCCAGCCTAACTTTGAACTGTAACAACTTGCTGTATCAAACTGCCAAATCTGCAGCACTCATTTCTTTCTGTGAATCCAGCTGTCATGTTTCCCAAATGCCTTCACAGTCCCAACTCTCCCCATGCCAAAAAGAACTTTTCACAGATATACATAATTTTGCAAAACACATATGCTCTATGTATGGCACATGAAGCCAATTAACAAGTTTACTTACTGAATTAAAGGATGACACACAACAGTGAAACAAAAACCTCTTGCAGACAGCAAACACATTAACCTTCTCCTCCCTATGAGGCGATACTCTCACAGGGAGCGCTAGGGAGCTTTAAAGTCTAAGCAGATTTTGAGTATCCCAGAAGATCTTTCATGCTTATCTCCATGGCATCTTTTATTCCGTAACTCCCATGGTGTTTGCGATCACTAGCACGTGGAGTTAAGTGTGAAACATGTTCAATTTGCAAGTCAGCAAGCACAGAACATGCACTAGGGAAAATACAATCTCTCATAAAAGGAAGTAATAAGATTGAGTATAAAAGTAGGTACCTTTTAACTGGTCTGCTACGACACTCTGACCAACTCGCTCAATTACTTTTCCATCTTCCATTTCATAACGATCATCCAAGTATTTCGCAGTAGCTTCCGAAATATGGACTTTTCCAGCTACCCCGAGCTGCTCCATCAGATTGGCCAAATTGACATCATTGGACCACACATCAAACTTGAACCTCCTCATTCCCAAAATGCCACACAGGACTGTCCCGGTATGAACACCGACTCGCATATTCACCATTTCTTTTTTCTCTTGGCAAAACTGCTCAATGGCTTTAATCATGCCTAAGCCCATCTCGATGCAGCAGTAAGCGTGATCTGCCCGGGGCTCCGGGCAGCCAGCCACGCAGTAGTAACAGTCTCCCAAAGTGCTTATCTTCTCACATTTAGTGTCCTCACACAGACGGTCAAAACGTCCGAAGAGGTCGTTCAGGAGTCCCACCAGAGCGTGGGCAGATTTATTGGCACTCATTTTCGTGAAGCCAACAATATCTGCAAACAAAATGCTCACTTGCTCTATCTGCTGCATTTTAAAAGGACGGAATATGATGGGGGTTTTCTGTATGGAAGGCTTCTTCTTCCTGTTTTTGGGGCTTGAGGTGGAATGACGTTTGATGGAGTTTTCACTTTCATCATCCCCCTGCTTCATTAAGTCATCGGCTATTATTCTTGGCATAACAGAATGAATCATCCTCTCTTTCAGGGCTTTTTCCACTTCCAAGTCTTTTCCATGCATGATGGACTGCCCCACTTTCAGGAATGTGCTTCTCGATCTGACTTCAGACATGATAAATAAATGGATACCGATGGCGTGGATGCAGATGTGTAGGAAGGCTTTACTCAACAGCTCCCAGTAAACGGCACCAGCCCCAGGAGGTGTAAAACAGTTTTCATCACGGAAGTGATAACCAAAGGTCTCAAAAAGGACCGAGTACGACAGTCCCAGAAACAAGCTTAAATACAAGGGTAAGTGCATCACTGTGTAAAGCAACAAGAGCACTTCAATACACATAGAAAAACTGCCTACTTGAGAAAGGCAAGTGTCTGTGGGATCTGCCGGGGAAGTCTGATTGGACATGTCACCGCTTCCTGAGATAGGTTTCAGAGCCTGGAACTGCGGAGCGAGAGTCAAAGCAAAAACCAGGAGAGTGAGTATCAGCGAAGTCCATCCATAATGGCGGGCATAAGTCTTGGTGAAAGTGAATGCAAAAAAGCCTACACATACCAAAAGGAAGCACAGAGCCGGCACCATGAAAACAATCTGTTTCTCTCTCATGTGTATGCCAAAGTAAATGGCCCAGAGAAGGCAGGCCACGCCGATGTAGAAGAGGGCATAGCGAAACCTGCGCTGGGTCTGCGGGAAGCATCTCTCCATGCAAGCCTCCTCGAGGTTGTTGGAGTCGAACTTGGGGTTCCACCACTTGGAAGAGGCCCTCTCGAAGAGCTGCGGCAGCTTCTTCTTTTTCTGCCCCCTCCGCCAGCCCGGCGGGTGCCCCCCGACTCCCCTGAGCTGCAGCTGGAGGAGATGCTGTACTTGCAGTGCTTGGAAGAAGTGCAGCCCTGGTGCTGCTTGGGGTTGATTTTCACCGTCACGCTGTTGCTGTCCCCGCTGGAGTCGCAGCTCACCTCGGTGCTGTGGTGATGCAGCAGCTGCTGGTGCGGTGGGGAAGCCATGTT